AAAATTAAAAATACAAAGAACTGGGATTCAGCTGACAGGGAAATTGATAGCATGGAACGCTTACCTCAGGAAAGATCATAAATCAGTCATCTTAAATTCCTGAGAAACTACGAAAATAGCAAAATAAACCCAAATCAATCTCAAGGACTGGTGAGCTCGGGTTTGCCCACCTGAGCCAGCGCTGGTCCCGGGGTTTCTGCGGGGCTTTTCCCCCCGGGACTTGACCTATTAACCAAAAGTACCTCTTGACCGTTAGTTCCCAACAACGGCTAGTGTGCCGGGCGACCCTCCTGTATCCTTACCAGCAACGGGGGTCATCACCCCACCCCCCACCCCAAACCCCAAGTTCATGGCAGGAGAGTCAGCAAATCTTCTCAGTTTGACTTTGCCAATTAGGCTCAAGCTCATTCGGAAACTTGTCCCAAGATGAAGGGTCTCCTCATGTGGTTTTCAGAGGTAGCCTTGTTCCCAGTTCCAACGGCTACGTGCTCGGACGTGCTGGGACACGGCCTTTGCCTCGAGGCTGCCCAGGGTCCCTGGGAGCCAGACGCAGCGGGAAGCCGAGCTGGCCGCCTGCTTTGAGGCCTGGGGCGGGCGCCCCCCTGGGGGCAGGCCCGGGGCCAGCTCTAACATCCCACATTCCTGCCTGTTGGGGCTGCAAGGATTCATTCCCGGTCACTCAAACAAAAGGGCTGATTCTAGGGCTGTGTGTGGACCAGGGACTGCTGCCTTGACACGTGGGCCCCTGCCTGGTCCTGCCTCTCCCGTCCCTTCCCACGCTCAGACATGGCCACTCAGCCTTTCTGTGTCAGATGCTCCGCAGGCCACGGGAGGCCAGGACAGGCACGGCCCGCTCCTCCTCCCAAACTGTGTGATCACGGTCATCAGGGCCTCACCGCTGGACCGGGTCAGAAGGGCCTGCTGGTATGGGCCCCGTGTGCGTCCTGCGCACGCGTCCTCTGTGCTGCGGCCGGGCGAGGAGGTGCTCTGCGGGACGGCCAGCCGCCCCCACAGCCACCTGCCTTGCTTCTCAGCTCTGGCGGCCCTCGAGCACCACGCGCCTACGGACAGAGCACACGGGCGCACGACCGTTCATGAACAAATCGTGACTTTCAGGGAGGCAAGGGGCCACCGTGGCTCAAAGGAAAACCCGGGCGAGGGTGAACCCAGGCAGCGGGGGCCCCTGCCACGCCGGGGACACCACCGATGGCTGCAGCTACATCTTGTGGACACGCCATCGCCAGTGGTGCAGCCGGCCCGCCTCGCCTGGCGGCTCACTTGCCCGCTTCAGCTCAGGGCAGGGCCACCCGACCACCCAGCCTCCCGGCACGGGAGCACACGCCCCAGGCGTCTGGCGGGCACCCGTGCTAGCGGTGCTCCACGGTGTTTCTGGTTCCACACACACGCAGAACCCCAGTGGGGAGTGCTGGTGAAAGTCACCCGTTGTTCTGATTTCCCGCCCTACCTCCGGCCCGCCTCCGCATGGCAGGCCAGGAACAGTGTGTCCCAGGGAATCCCAGACGCGCCCGTCTAAGAGGACTGTCAGTTCCCTGGGCTCAGATGGGGCTCACTGCTCATCACACCCGGCGATATGAGGCCACCTGCTGGTGGTGCTTCTTGAACCACTGCTTTTAGTCCATGACTCAGAAAAACACAGATTTTAATGTTAGCGAAACAGGTAGGTATACCAAGGGGTGGAACGCAAGGATTGCAACTTCTTGGGGGAAGGGAGGCTTAAACGCCAGGGTTCAGCTCTTGCACCCTCCCACGGCCATCAAAAAACAAGCCCAGACGAGCAGCACGCGGTGGCGAGGTCTGTGTCCCCCCCACCCAGAACACGTGCATCTGTGAGCAAGTGGGGCCGAGGGCCAGCAGAGCGGCCACTCCAAGCCTTCATCAGCCAATCCTGATGTGATTGTCACGTCAAGCCAGTGAGTTTTGGATGGTTACACGGAAACAGCAGAGCATGACCCTAGTTCTTCCAAATTTTCTAGGCCAGTGCTGTGCTACAAAGCATACTCAATAAATATTTCATCAATTTAACAAACATTTATTGAGCATCTGCCATGTTGCAGACAGTGTCCTAAAAATAGGGGATACAAAGGCTATTGGGATGGGCTCACTTCCTGCCTTCATAGAGCACACTGAATTACAACTGTGAGGAGTTCCATGAAAGAAGTTCCTAGCAACGCAGAAGGATGGCTGGATGAAAGCCTACGAGGTCAGCAAAGAAACAGAACTACAGACAGTAATGAAGGGAGCACCTAGACAACATGCATGCATCTGTGGGGACTCCGCAAGTAACAAGTGTGGCATCACCCACCATGGAGAAATAACAAACCAGAGATCCTCCGTATGGCGAGAGTAGAATTAGGCCGTGACCCAGACCACACACGCACATCCAGGCCAACAATTCCAGATGGACTGCACGCACACACGCACGCATGCGCACGCACACACACAGATTATTTTTACGCCTACAGAGTAGGGAAATACTTCAGAAACAAGACCAAGACACTAGAACCACAAAGGAGAAGAAGGATAAATTTTACTACATGATCATCAAAAACTGTAAGATAAAACATACTCTAAAAAAGTTAAGACACTGGTAGGGATTGAAGGGAAGTATTTGTAACATACATAACAGACAAAGAGTTAGTAGCCCAAACAGATCAGGAACACCACGTCAGTATGAAAAAGATAACCCCGTAGAAAAAAAGGCGAAAGGAAATGAATAGGCAGTTCATAGACGAGGAAAATCAGTCAATTGACTTCAAAGCAGACCATCCGTGCCCCAAATCAATAATCTACTAAGCGGTTCATCCACCTGCAGCCTTGAGCAGCGCTGGCATCACCAGTATTTAGGGGTGAGTCAATTACTTTGTTTCTGAGGCTCACGTCTGATCTGAAAACCACAAGGACTCATCATCAAGTGACTCTATGGGAACATCACACAAGAGACAGGCCATTTAACACAAGCAATGGAAGATCCCGACATCGGGGAATTTAGCTCTGTGGTAAATCCTGGATTCAATGCACTGCTCCCCCGAATGCCTGAGACCACTATGCCAACTGGGGGCCCCTCACGCTGCAGACGCTCAGAGCCTCGATAATCCAAACACCAGTTGGAGGCAACCACATTCCATTCTCATGTACACTGATGGGAAGAGACAAGAATTATTTTTTAAAAAGATGTATTCTTGAAGGAATTAATTAAAAAAAAATCAAAAGAAAAATTGCAACAGTGCCTAAATCTTTATTTTTCATAACCTACATTTTTTTCAAATTAGACAGTTTTACACTGAATGACACAAAAGGAAACTTAAATTATCAATAGTTTACACATAAGCTTGATTCCAGTCTTAATGAAAAGAAGTAGAACAAAAACAAAGGCCCTCAAGAAAGCTTCCGTAGCACGTCCTGCTCGGCGGACTGGCGGCTGCTGGCTCTGCTTCTGACTTGGATTGTCTGCGGCACCCAGGGTGACAGGCCACGAAGCACACGAGCCCCCAAACGCAGCTCGCTGGTGGCAGGAACAGACACGCGCCTTCCTCAACCGCCGCCCCTGTAACAAACTGAACTGGCTTTGAAATGTAAACTGCATGATCCTGGCTAACAGAGCCGCCGGAAGCGCCTTCTGCCACCGCCAGTGACAATCAGTGATGCTGGGACAGGCGGGCCGGGCCAGGAACATCAGGACACCAACTCTTAAAAAACAACTACTCTACTGGAAATTCATGTCTGGTAAAATGGGGCCAGATTCTCATCCCGCTATTTCCAAATTATAAGTATCCTCACACAATTTTACAAGTTAAAATGTCATTTGTGATTGCTGTATCTCTTGATTCTACACCTGAGCTACTGCTGGGGGAAGGAAAGACTTCCGTTTCTAAAACTGGACAAAAGCCCCCACCAGCTGTGGCTGCTCGTGCCAGAGTCACCGTCTCCGTGCCGCGTCCCAGGCTCCCTTCTCTTCTGTGAGGGGAAAATCTCACAGTGATCTCAGAAAGGTGGGGTTTGGGATATTATAAAGCTATTTGGCGTATCATCGTTGCTTAATTAAAAAGGGTGCTATAAAAATCCCACCAGAGCTGGGTTGCAACTCTGGCTGCAACTGATGTGGGCCGCAGGGACAGGGGCCGCAGTGCGGCGAGCGGGCACGGAGGCTGCAGGACCGCCAGGCCACGCCCCTCCCCGCACCGGCCGCCCCTGCTCCCGGCTGTGCCCCATTGCTGTCACGAGTGACCCCCTTCGTCCTGCCGGCCGTGGACGGCTACGGCTAGCTCTAGCACACAGCCTGCCACCAGGGCAAGGATCTGTCATTCCTGAAAACCAGTGTGTCAGCTCCACACAGAGTTTGCGGCC